GAGCCCGGACTGTTTAAAAGAGACCCTGTTGCTCTGTGTTTTTGTCTCGTTCGTGTTCTCATTCTGATTTCTTCTGACCATGTTGAATAAAGCTGATTCACTGTTCACTAGCTGTGTTGAGTCTCACACTTAACAGTTGGTGACGAGAATGGGATCACGGTCGAGGAGCGTGGTTAAGCGGCGACCCATTAACATTTCCACCACCAAATATCCAGGGATTTCCCAACCTGGAGTTGGTAACCCTGTTTCCATATAGAATGTATGTGTAAAGGTAAAGGTAAATGTTCCCTTGCTCGAAAGCCAGTCGAATCCGACTCTAGGGTTGTGGTGCTCATCTCCGTTTCAAAGCCGAAGAGCCAGCGCTGTCCGAAGACGTTTCCATGGTCATGTGGCTGACATGACTAAACACCAAGGCACACGGAACGCTGTTACCTTCCCACCGAAGTGGTACCTATTTATCTACTTGCAATGTCTTGCTTTCGAACTGCTAGGTTGGCAGGAGCTGGAACTAGAGACGGGAGCTCCCTCCGTCATGCGGCACCCGGGTCTCGAACTGCTGAACTACCGACCTTCCACAGCCTGCAGTTCAGCGTCTTAACCACTTGAGCCACCGCAGCTCCTAATGTATGTGTACAAGTCAACAAATTTTAATGAAGTGTGTCCAGTATTTTTGCTGAACCCCCTACGGCAACCCTATCCACCCCGTGCCTCCCGTCCCCCACTACTGTCTGGTGCAGCAGTGGGAGAAATAGAGGGGAGCGATGTTGTGTCATTGCTATGGCATCTCTTCCAGTCGCATAACACTCTAGCAATCCCACAGACTGTATGTTAAAACCGGAAGTGGTTTGTTTTAGTTTTAGTTTTTGGTATTTTGTGTTTGCTTGTGAGCCTGGAAGTCATGTCGACTTCTGGAGAACCCTAGTGGGGCTAGGATGTTTCAGAGAGGTGGCGTTGATATTACCTGCCTCTGCATCCCAGCCCGGGTATTCCTTGGAGGTTGCTCTTGCAAGTACTTGCCAGGGTCGGCCTTGCTTTGCTTTTGAGATCTGACGTTAGCTAGATTGGTGGGGGACATCTGCTTGTCACAAGGGGAGGCCAAGTTGGTCAGGGTGGCCACACGGGTGGCCTGGATGGCTAGCAGGGGGTAACTTTGGTACCCACTTCTTGGCACTGGAGCGGCTTCAACATCCACAGGGCGAGGGTCTAGTTCCTCTGAGGTCTTGGCATTGAGCCATGGGAGACCCTGGGCATATGGTGTTGAGAGACATCAGCCATGCTGGCCAATGGCGTATTTCTTTACAGGGTGTGGCAGAAGAATGGAGGTCACCAGTATAACAGTTGGCAATTCCAGCTTAGGCACCCAGCTAGACATCGGAGACTGGGCTTCCGTTGGAGGAGAAGGGTGGAGTGCATTGGAGCCAGCCATTAACCCTCCTTTATGATCGTCGGTTGGCAAGAGTGCCTCCCCAGGCCATGGTTGTGCCTTTAGATGGTGGTGATCTGGGCACTAGGTCGGCAGTCTCCACCCTGAGGTCAAGTCCTTACTGCCACATCTTTTTGGTCACAATGGGATTACTGGGCTTATTTATTATCTATTAATTTTGATTTTTATCCCACCGTGCCTGCACAGGTTGGTCATTTGCTTAGCTGCTTTTCAGGGCGGTCTGCATGACCGATTGGTTCATGGTTGGTGGGAAAGAAGTTAAGCTGAGGTTAACCCCCTCTGTGGTGGGAAAAGCACAGGTTGAGGGGATTTTGAGTTGGCAAGCACCCCGAGATATCAGCGATAGGGGGGGTCTTCAAGCAGGGTGTTTGTTAAGTCGCTCGCTTAACAAAGTAGTCGGAGTGTGATTCAGCAAAGGTTCAACTTTATTCAACAACTCGGACACAACTCCAACACGGATCAACATCTGATAGCCAGAAGAGCTTTTGCATTAAAGCTGTTCCCTTTTTAAACTCTCCCGGCTAATGTAGCCACGCCTACTATACAATTATCAACCAATAAGGTTGTATACATAAGGACCAATCACGGACGTTCCCGCTCAGGGAGCTTGCTGACCAGTGATTGGTTGGTTCTTCCTGGGCTAGCGATGTGATTGGATGGATTTGGATCCTAGCCCAGGACGAAGCTTTACATGGCAAGTCAATTATGTAGTTCACATATCGTTATGCATTCAACGGCAGCTATTGAATACATTACAGTATTTATAGGCTTTGCAGTCAGGGTGACTCAGTTGGGGGCCTCTTTGGGGTTGGGGGAGCATATGATGAGCCTTAAGGCTTAGCAGTTGTGGGCTGGAATGTGACCCTCCCTCCCCTCTACGCACTGGTGTGCGGGGCACAATCAGTAAGGTCTGGAAGGATCCCGGACCTGGCTCTGAGCCGAAGTGGGTCGTACAAATTAAATCCCCCATTTAACCCATCACTTGTGTTGTGATTCATTTGAGGGGTGGGCGGACGGGCAATTTCTTTTAAAATCAGAAGGGAAAAAATGAACTTTTAGGGTCAAAGGAAAGGTTTTAATTTTTTTTTTCTCACATCAGATGAAAAAACCCAAATTTTAGGGCCCACAAAAATCTATTAAATCCTGCCTACAACAGAAAACAAATTGTTAAAGTAGTTAAAGTTACAGCAAAAATAATTTTTAATATTGACATTTATGGTGGGAGGGGCCTACAAGGGCGAAAGGGTTAGGGCCCACGAAAGTCATAATGCAGCCCTGATTTTGGGGGTGGGTGGGGGAACCACCTCAGGGAGAAATGAAGCATGGTGGACATGTGAAAAAGCAAAAGGTTTCTGGGCCGAGGTCCATTCAGAGATGGAAAAAATCATGAAATGTAAAATTAAGAAGGAACCAGAAGTGTTTCTTCTGGGACTTAGAATGGAAGAAGTTAATATTGTAAAATGGACTTTAATGTGGTATATGGTTACAACTGCTAGAATGACGGACGCTCAATGTTGGAAGCAAGAAAAACTCCTGATATTTGGGAGTGGTTAAAAAAGTTACTTTTTATGGTTGAAATGGACAAAATGATAAGAAAGCTTAAAAATCAAGAAGCAGAAGACTTTTTTGCAGATTGGAAGGACTTCAAAGACTATATGGAGAAATACTGGGGTGTTAAAAACAATTTATTTTGCTTAGACGATTATTAAGATGGAGGGTTATTTAGATTAAGTGTAAACATATATAGATTTAGAGATAAAGAGATTCGTTACCTGTAATAAATATATAATATTAAAGAATTGGGAAAGGGGGTGAGCTAAGAGAGAATTGAAAGTTTGAGCACTGTGGAATGTCAGAAGGGGGAGGTATATGGAAGAAAAAAGGATATGAGATAACTTGTTACATGAATTATAAGTTTACTTATTGTGATATCCTAATAAAGAGTTTTTAAAATATAAAAAAAGAGCCCTCAAACATTAAAGAACTCTCCAAATAACATTTTGTTTTACAAATGGCAGATGTTCCTGGAAATAGTTGGATTCAACCCTATTATGCTGGCTGCTGTTGCTGAATGCCATATTCAGTATTGACCCCTGAACTATATAAAGCCCTGAAACAGGCCTTCGGTTGAGGTGGCCTCCCTGCTTTAGTTCCCAGCCTGCTGAAAGGGCCCATCTGATTCCACCTTGTGGCCCCAACAGATTTATATTGCTGCTACCAATTTTATTGTTTATCGACTTTATGATTTTAATGTGATTTTATTGTAACGAGTCTTTGACTCGATTTGTTGTGATCCTCCCTGAGCCCGTTTGGGGAGGGCGGAATAAAAATCCCAAAATAAATAAAATATACATAAATAAACAAACAACTACGTATGGAATTCACCAGACTTTAGCCTAGTAAGAGGGCCTTAAAGGTTATGTCGTTTGCTATTTTCTTCTTTCGTCGTGATGTTAATAATGTCGATTTACTATTCATTCCATTGTTTTAATAGGGATTGCATTTTGATATTTGATTTGCTCTGCACTTTCACAATGCTGAAATGAATAAGTGGCATCGATAAATCATGATTTATTGCCCCAGATTATGAACCAGAATCCTCTCGAACAGTTTGGGTTCTGTCAGAGATGCGCAGAAATTCTATGGCCAGTAAAGTGAGGCCGAAAGAAATCCCTGAAAGAAAGAAAAAGTATTTATTTATTTATTCATTCATTCATTTATTGGATTTTTATCCCATCCTCTTAGCCTAGGGCTGGCTCAGGGTGGCTTACAAACAGAATAAAATTTCAATACGATAAAATCACAACAATTCATATAAATACAATATTAAAACTGAAACAAATAAAGGGCTAGTAAACATCTCCTCATTTTCTGGTCAGCACCTTGATCTTCTTCAGCTGTCTAGGGTGATTGGCCCAGGCAGTATTTCAGGGTCCAGCGGGTCAGGGTTCCACCAGCGTAGATATCAATTGTTGTTCGTGGTGATAGTGGTGGTGGTGGCAGCTCCAAAGTCCTGGTGGAAGAGCTCTGTTTTACAGGCCCTGTGGAACTGTGAGAGGTCCCGCAGGGCCCTGGTCTCTTCTGGGAGCTCATTCCACCAGAGTGGAGCCACCACCAAGAAAGCCCTGGCCCTAGTTGTCACTAGTCTGGCCTCCTAGATGTTCGGGAGAGCCAGCTGGTACTGGGTCCCTGACTGCAGCGCTCTCTGAGGTACATATGGGGGAAGGCGCCCCCATATCACCGCCAAAAATCACCGCCATAAGACGCCACATTAATTGTGATTACATGCTCTGAATGCTTGAACTGCCCCGGGAGACTCTTCCCACAAGGTTTTTAAATGTTGTGGTTGGAGAGACGTCCATCACTTCTATGGGTGTGGCCAATGGGTTGTGTGCAGTTAACACGGCTTTTCCTGCTGTCTGCTCCCTATGCTAAACAGTTAATTACCACGCGTGATTAGCCATGCCTTTATGTCTCTGACACCGGCGTGATTAGTCGATTTAAATTAATTCGTATGCTTTAAAGATCTTAGTCACCAGTTCATTTGAACAGAGTGGGGGTGGAAAGTGATGTTTATAAATGACAGGGACTCATCGGAGAGTGCATTGCGCACTGCTGGACTGCTGGAAGGCAAGGTAAATGTCCGGGCTTGTTCAGAGCTTCCCGGTGAGCTTTACAATCTAGAAATTGCTGAAAAATGGGTGTGGGGAGGTGTTTAGTACTGCGTCCTTTTCTGTCCAGCAACCTGGTTCTCAGATAGGACAAAACCTCTCCAATCACGGGGCCATTTCCTTTGTTAAAAAAAACAACCCAGAAGGTGACTAGTGCTGGTCACACCAAGCAACGTGCCAGACCTGGCTTTCAGAGGTCTTTCCTTCCGTTATAGCATTGCTCTGATTGTTTTAAGCCAGTTTGGTGTAGTGGTTAAGAGTGGCAGACTCTAATCTGGAGAACTGGGCTTGATTCCCCACTCCTCCCCATGCAGCTGCTGGGTGACCTTAGGTCAGTCATAAGTTCTTTCGGAGCTGTTCTCTCAAGAGCAGTTCTCAAAAGAGCTCTCTCGGCCCCACCTACCTCACAGGGTGTCTGTTGTGGGGAGAGGAAGGGAAGGAGATTGTAAGCCGCACTGAGACTCTGTGTGAAGGGCAGGGTATAAATCCCGTCTCGTCTGATATCGGAGGGGGTTTGGATACAATGATGGAGTGCAAATTATTAACCTTAATTATGCCATCACTTCAGCCCATTGGCCTTGGCAAACTGGGGTTTGGACAGTATGGAGTATGGATTGATCTGTGGGATTCTGAGATGTGAAAAGGACTCACAACATGTCATGTGGAGTTAGGTTCAAGGGCAAAAATTTCAAGTCATATATAAATGGGCCAGGGCATCTAAGGTTGCAGTTTTAAGAGCACTTTCTTGGAAGTTGGCTAAGCCCCATTGAAAAGACCTGCCTGGGACTGATCCGTAAGATCACCTAGTGGATTTGGAACTAGTAAAGTGACCCATGTCCTGACCTGAGCGGCCCAGGCTCAACCAGTCTTGTCAGATCTCGGAAGCTAAGCAGTGTTGGCCCTGAATAGTATTTGGATGGGAGACCACCAAGGAATTCCAGGGTCACTACCAATATTCCCTCTAAGCTATAGAGCCCTGTGAGCAAAAATTCTACTTTGTGAGCTACTGGCATTAAAGTTGTGAGCAGGAGCTTTGGCTGCTGCATAAATTAGTTTGCTCTGGAGCCATCCCTTCCTGAGCTAAGACAAAAATGTGTGAGCCAGAGGCTAAAAAACTGTGAGCTAGCTCACACTAACTCAGCTTAGAGGGAACACTGGTCACTACACAGAGATAGGCAGTGGCAAACTGCCTCTGAATGTCTTTTGCCTTGAAAACCCCTACGGTGGTGGTGGTGGTGGTGGTGGGGGTCACCACCATAAGTCGGCTGCAATTTGACAGCACACGGATGTTTTACATACGTGCAGCCGGTGGAACCCAAAGCATCATGGGCCAACATATGCTTTGTGTTGTATCTTTTTCTGCAAGACAAGAGCATCCTATTATGAGAGCCAGTTTGGTGCAGTGGTTAAGTGTGTGGACTCTAATCTGGGAGAAACCGGTTTGATTCCCCACTCCTCCACTTGCACCTGCTGATGTGACCTTGGGTCAGTCACAGCTGTCCTTGAAAAAGAGCAGTTTGTGCTAGAGCTCTCTCAGCCCCACCCACCTCACAGGGTGTCCTGCATAAATTAGTTTGCTCTGGAGCCCTCCTTCCTGAGCTAAGACAAAAATGTGTGAGCCAGAGGCTAAAAAACTGTGAGCTGGCTCACACTAACTCAGCTTAGAGAGAACACTGTTGGGGACCCTCTGCCCTATACACTCAAAAAAATGAATTTTAAAAACAGCCATTAAGATGGATAGAATAATCAAGGCACAGGTGTACCAAAGTTCCGAGGAGCCCATCTTTTTTTTAAAAAAAGTTTTTTATTAATCATTTCAACAAAAACCGCAATAATGATGCAATGATAGTAGAACAAAAATAAACAACTAGCTTTCACTGCATAACCCTGAGTTTTGTCAATATATAGTTCTCTGTAACATTATCTCTTTTATTACCACAGGGCTATAAATTTACTACTGTTATTTTCAAAAGAATTCAGGTTTTCTCGATCAAAACTACAAGTTTCCAAAAGAGTACTATTTCTCCAGGTAATTTGTAGCCAAGGGGTTTTCTGATCTTCTAATGTCTTCTGTTATTTTGTCCATAACAGTATAATCTCAGATTTTAGAGTACCGGGCTTCTATTGAAGGGGAGTTTGGCATCTTCCAATTCGTGGCTGCAATGTTCTTTGCGGCCAGTATTAATATTGAAATGAGCTCACATCGTATCTCGGGAATGTTTAACTATTGCAAAAGGTTTAATAGGACTCGTTGGGGACTCTCTGGTGGGCAAACATGAGGCTCACTTCTGGTGTCATGTGATGTGGCTCTTTTCTTGCAAGTCAGGAATCGGGTACTCAGGTTGGGGCTCTTCAGTTCACACAGCAGAGATGGGTGTGTTCGAAACAACGTCCATTTCTTAGCAAGGTAATCCAAGGAAGGGAGCAACTGGTTCCAGGACAAGGCAGCTCATGCAGTCTGCATTTCTAACTAACCTACAGAGCTCAGGAGCAGGGATTCCACCCCATGAGACTAAACCAACACACACAAATGTGGGGGGGGGGGGGACATTGTTCCATTTTAATGTATACAATAAATACACCACAGTGATGATGTAACCTGCAAGAAATGGACTGAAAACTTGTTCTGAACTGTCTGAGACCCTGAAAAAGAGCCCTGCTGGCTATTTCTGCTGTTCCTACCCTTTTTTCTTTTTCCTTTCCCTCTCATTGTTATTGCAGAGAACCCGGGTCTCACAATGAGTACTACCTTCAGTGAAGCCAACGCTAAGTTTGCCCTCGACTTTTACCGCCTGCTGGGCAGAGCACATCAGTATGAAAATATCTTGTTTTGCCCTACGAATCTCATTGCCGCCCTCGGCCTGCTCCTTTACGGGTCTAGATCTGATACGGCAGATGAAATAGAAAAGGTACGAATCAAATAGTACCATATACCATGCAACAGCCAGGTATTGTGGCTCAGTAAACTACCTGGTAGTGCTTTTGACATGGTAAATGGGGTGGGGGTGCCGGTGGGAGGGATGTTAGTCATCTGGCTGGGCAGAAATGTGGCCAGTGGGCTGCCACTGGTTTGGTCAAACCCAGGGTGATCAAGTTGTGTAACCAACTTCTGTTATAGTCACTGTTTGCAGTTTCAGTATAAAACAATATTCTGTAGTAAAGGTTTCCCTTGCTTGAAATCTAGTTGAATCTGACTCTAGGGGGCAGTGCTCATCTCTGTTTCCAAGCTGAAGAGCCAGCGCTGTCTGAAGACATTTCCGTGGTCATGTGGCTGGTATGGCTAAACGCCGAGGTGCACGGAACGCTGTTACCTTCCCACCGTTCTTGCTTTTGAACTGCTAGGTTGGCAGGAGCTGGGGCCAGAGACGGGAGCTCACTCCGTCATGTGGCAACTCGGGTCTCGAACTGCTGAACTACTGACCTTCCAGTCCGCAGCTCAGCGTCTTAACCTCTAAGCCACCGCGGCCCCTTGTCTACAGTACAACATGGTTATTTGGCAGAACCTTTCTTTTAGCAGAGAGGAATATTTATCTCCATTGGGGAACGGCATTTGCAGTTTCTCCTGTTATATTGCATGAACGAATTAGAATTGTCAATCCCCCCTTGGCCTTTGGTGGGGGATGAGGGAGTAGGGTTGCCACCTCCAGGTTGGGAAACTCCTGGAGATGGGGGGGTGAAGCCCAAGGAGGACAGTGGGGTACAATGCCTGGAGGCTGGCATCCCTAGTCAACAAATTGGTGTCGTCATTATATTTGCTTCCATAACTACAGCTATCTTACGATTCCATTTCAGATACTTCACTATGATGAACTTTCAGAGTCTGAGATCCTTGAGTATTTAGAGGCGACAGAAAGTGCCGATCCCTCGGGATCTCATCCCTCCTCTCATACTTCTTCCACGACGGTATCTTAAAAACAATCAGTACTGTATTGTGTTTGTGACAGCGGAGACATCGCCAAACTGGGCTTGTTGGCTTAGAATGTTCAGGGAACCAAGCAGTCCGCGGTCCAGTCTGTGCGAAGGAAAGGAAGGTTAGAAGGGACTGGGAACAGGTAGGGAAGGCAAGAAACAAAGATCCAGGGCCAAGGAGGCTGTGCGTTATCAATGGCCTGAGGATGAGGTACCAGAAAGGAGGTGGAGAACGGGCTTTGATAAAAAAAAGAGCCGATAAAATACGGAACTAATCAGAGAGGATTATTTCACAGCACGTAAGCTTGGAACAGTTATATATTATGAGGAAGAGGGATAGGATAAAGCTCCGGAGAGGGAGCTGCCAGTGTCCTGAAACTCAGGGACTTGAGGAATAATGTTTGGGGGAGACACGAAATGGAAGAAGGGAGCATCCAAGCAGAAAGCAGGACTTCACATAGACCTAGAGAGAGGTCAGGCTGTGCCCTACTGGGACACAGGGACTAGGCTTGCCAGATTGGGAGATGGGGGTGCGGTAGGGTTGCCTGAAAAACTCCTAGAGATTCGCGGATGGAGCTTGAGAAGGACAGGGAACCTCGGTGGAGCACAATGCCATAGAGTCCACCCTCCAAAGCGTCCATTTTCTCCAGGGGAGCTGATCTTTGTAGTCTGGCGATGAGCTGTAATTCCGGGGGATCCACAGATCCTACCTGGAGATTGGCACCCCTAACAGGGACTAATCCTAAACAGGTCTACTCAGAAATAAGTGTCATTTTATTCAGGGGGGCCTACTCCCAGGGATGCGCTTTTAAGGCTGCAGCTTTAGCAGGCAAGGGAAAGAATTAGTGGGTCGTAGGACTGTGAAGTCTGAATCATAGATCCCCGCTGTATTCAGAAAACTCTAAGGTAGGAGAGGTAGGTGGCAGCATAAACCACACGGAGAGTTTAATAGTATAAAGGCACAGCAATGACTGATCTAACTTCCTGCTAACATGACTTTCAGCTGTACTAGTTCATTGTAAGTCTTTGCTGTTAACGCAGGGCTGTTTCAAACACTGGCCTTGCTTAACCGATGGTGCGATCACAACTACCATAATCCTGAGAGGAGAATTCTGCCCATTTCAGCCTTTGCTTTTTCTGACCTTGGCATGAATGCCAAGAAGCAGTGGGGGGTTGGTGGGGGGACTGAACTTCATGTACTGTAGTTGAATTAGCCGGCTAGTTCTTGGGCTGCAGGCTTCTAGGGACGTCAGCACAAAGTGAGCTTGCTAGGCAAATCTGATTTCATTGATGAAACGAAAACAAGGAAGACGTCATTCGGGTCACCGGCCTGTTTAAAACACTAGACGACTCCTTCATTATCATAATACAGGACTTTGGTTTGAATTATGCAAACGTGGGATTGTTTCTGCTGCTTAATTCTGGTAATTGTAAATAATGTTTATAAATAATACAATGATTCATAATATCCTGAGACGGGAAGATATTCCTTTTGCATTTCATTAAAGTAGGTTTGCCTGTTTTGTGAATTGACATTTATGGTTACTACTGAACTTAGCATCTTTAAGTACTACATATTAAGTGATATCATACATTAATTATTTTGATATCCCATGTTTTTAAACAAGCCATGTTATCTACTGACAGCATGGGGGGAGTTGTTGGGGCAGGTCCCCGAGGCTAAGTTCTGTCCCAGACCCTGAGTTACCTGTCTGTGGTCCTGGAAATGTCTGAAGACCACAGAACCTGATGTTCCTTAAACCTGTAAGCCCCTGGTTCATATATTATATGCTTATTGTGAATAATATTCCTGTGACAGGGAAGATGGTTAAATATCATGCATTAACTGGGTTGCTGTTTATTGAGGAGATATTATACTGTAGTAGTTTTAAATAGTACAAAGACTTAGTATTTATGTACGTAAGCGCCCTTCTGGATCAAACCAGTCTTCCATCTAGTCCAGAATACTGTCTCATATAGCAGCCAAGCAGTTGTTCTGGAAGGCCAACAAATTGGTGATAGAGGCCACGGCCTTCCTCCCCTCCTTCCTAACACTGGCATCCAGAGGTTTACTGCCTCTGTATATGGAGGTTCCCTTTACTCATCATGGCTAGTAGCCATGGACCTATCTACCATGAATTTTGTCTAATCCCCATTTAAAGCTCATGGCCATCGTTATGTCCACTGGTAGTGAATTCCATCAATTAGTTACTAACTGAGTAAAGACGTACTATCTTGTCTTCCTCAACCTATTGCCTATCATCTTCATCAGTGAGTTCTAGTATTACGGGAGAGGGGGGGAAAGCTACCAGTATCCAAAGTTCTAGTATTATGGAAGAGGGAGAAAAAGCTACCAGTATCCAACACTGGAAGTATGACATAAATGGAGGGAGCAAAAGCTCTATCGACATAAAATGTTCAGTGTTCAATGCACTTCTTATGTTATGAGGGATAGCATTCAGAACGAGGTCCACATGACCTGGAAACCTGCCAGCCAGGCATATTGGCAGTTCTCGGTCCCTACAATGTATCTAATATGTCTGGTTGCTGTTTTGTGTAAACTGGGCAACACATGCAATTTCTATGCATGTAGTTTCCATACCCCTGAGCCCTGTGCATGGAAGCTGTACACACATGGAAAATCCATGCATTGCCCTGACCTGAATAGCCCAGGCAAGCCCGATCTTGTCAGATTTGGGGGGTCAACAGTGGGAGGGCTTCTAATGTCCTGGCCCCACTGGTGGACCTCCTGATGGCACTGGTATTTCTGGCCACTGTGTGACACAGAGTGTTGGACTGGATGGGCCGTTGGCCTGATCCAACATTGGCATCTCTTATGTTCTTATGTTCTTAACACTGGAAGTATGACATAAATGGAGGGAGCAAAAGCTCTATCGACATAAAATGTTCAGTGTTCAATGCACTTCTTATGTTATGAGGGATAGCATTCAGAACGAGGTCCACATGACCTGGAAACCTGCCAGCCAGGCATATTGGCAGTTCTCGGTCCCTACAATGTATCTAATATGTCTGGTTGCTGTTTTGTGTAAACTGGGCAACACACGCAATTTCTATGCACGTACAGTTTCCATACCCCTGAGCCCTGTGTATGGAAGCTGTACACACATGGAAAATCCACACATTGCCCTGACCTGGATAGCCCAGGCAAGCCCGATCCTGTCAGATCTCAGAAGCTAAGCAGGGTCGACTGTGGTTAGTGCTTGGATGGGAGACCTCCTTGGTATAGCAAGTCGGGAGGACAGGGGCAGGCTTTATCCAGCCACCTCTCTGAATATCCTCCAGGCCCCCAGTAGGGGTCAGTCACCAGAGGTCGCCATGACTCCCAAGTGCAGACACCACCACCACCCAAAAACCCATGCATTACCTCACACAGAATGGAGACAATGCATATTGGGTGCTTTGGGGTGACCGCACACTACCAGTATGTGTGGTTAGTGGGCTCCCAGCTTGCAAAGATGTCACGTCTGAAGAGGGCTTTGGAGATGTCAGAGCAGAAGAAGACTGGAGAGAGAGTAGCTTGCTTGAGGATACTTACTGAGGTGTGAACCAGGGTCCCCCCTGATTATAGCTGTGCTTGTTGGCCCCTGAGCTGCAACAGTTCTTGTACTTAATGTGTCGCTTTCCTATGAATACAGTATTCCCATGAATTCTGTTTTAGGCCTTGCACTCTGACAGTGTTAAACACAGGGTCCATCCTGGATCTAAGACACATAAGGAAGCAAGCCCACATTCTAGTCCTTCGGACAGCAAGGAGAGCCCTCAACCTTCATGGTGTCCACCTTGTGAACAGGTAAGTTACCTGAGTGGAACAGGGGATGTGATAAAGCAGCAGAGTAAGAGTGAAGTGAATTACCAAAAATCACAGCACAGGTGAGAAGTAGAAGAACAAACCAGCTTTCCTTGGGACATGTATACTCTGAACCTTCATGCACATTGATGCCAAAAAGCAGGAAAAATAAACATCTATTGTGCCTTGGATACTCAAGTGTTTATTCACACAGATATGAATTGCCCAGGGGTGTCATCATTTGGTGGTTTTCAGGAGAATATGTCAGATAATTCAATTGAAAAAATGTGGGGCTAAGGAAGTTCTACCCACAGTCTTGGCTTTGTAATATCCCATTCACCAGTACATGTTGTCACAGGAGCTGCGGTTGCACACACTAAGCTGTGATCACCACACACTAAATGATGCACTTTCAATCCACTTTCAGTGCACTTTCGAAATGGAACGAGCAGAATCCATTTGGAAAGTGCACTGAAAGTGGATTGAAAGTGCATCATCTAGTGTGTGTGATCACAGCCTAAATAATCCACTTCCAATCCACTTTCCAACTGGATTTTGCCAGTTCACACAGTAAAAAATCCAGTTGGAAAGTGCACTGAAAGTGGACTGAAAATGGATTATTTAGTGTGTGTGAACACAGCCTTGGTGTCGCAGTCCTCAAGTGATGACCATGTATGTGTCAACCAGTCCTCAGACTTTGATATCAACGCATATGAAGTACTATGATCAGGGCTATTTTTGGGCAGGAACGCACAGGGAACGGCGTTCCGGCTGGCTCCTGAGCTGGCCATGCCCAGCAGGAACTCATTAGCATAATAGGCCACCGCTAACAGCAGAAACTCATTAGGATTGGCCTAACATGCAAAGAAGTTCCTGCTACAAAAAAAGCCCAGGGTTTTGACAGCAAAGTAAACAGAATAAGAAGCAAAAGGCGGGTGTGGCTGGATGACCACACTTCTGGCAACATGGGGGCATGGCCTAATAGGCTAATGAGCTGTGCTGTCAGGGGTGTGGCCTAATAGGCTAATGAGTTTCTGCTGTTGGGTGTGGCCTGTTATGCTAATGAGTTCCTGTTGGGCTTTTTCTACAAAAAAAGCCCTGACTATGATATTCATTTTTCTGTTTGAAGGTGCCTGATTATGTATGTGAGAAACCAGAAGGCGTGCACAGCGTGTTGAACAAAGTCCTTAAGGAACTCAATAAGCCCAGCATGGACTATGAGCTAAGCATTGCCAATCGGATGTTTGCAGATGAGTCTATCCATTTCTACCAGGTAACTTGCACAAATGGAGTCCTGGGCGTTCGTGGGGGGACAGTTTTCAAAGAGGGATATGGTATGAAAAGGGCTTCCTAATGAACACACTCGAGCCCCTGGGCCGTTGTGTAGAAGAAGGAAATGCTTCAGAACCAAATGGGAATCTAGCTAGGGTTGCCAGCCACCAGATGGTTGAGTAAACGTGGAAAAACAACCGTGGGAAAACAAAACACACGATTCTGATATGCTACTATGCCCTTCCTATATTCGTTTAAATCATATACTTAAATATACAATAAAGACCCTAGTGTATCTTATTAATTACAGTACATTGATAGCGAAAACCTGAAGAACAATATATATCTCGTAGAAAAATCCACAGCTACAGGGACGAATATGCAGACAGGATTCAGTGCTGTGTAGACTATCTTGATTTCTGTTGAAAGATGCAGCAGTTGTCAATGCCAATACTGTAGGCTGTTTTGCTTTCCGAAAAGAGATGCGGCAAGCATCAAAGCAACACGTCTCCCAGGCAAAAGTTACGTGTTTCGAGAAATTCTTCTTCAGGCAAATTATTTCTCCTGGAACCAAAGCTCACAATGCTACGATGCACAAGTCAAACAACTCTGTAGAAGGCTTCTCCAGTTCTCCATCTCCGGTGGCTGGAGATCTCCTGGAATTACATCTGATCTGTAGGTGACAGAGATCAGTTCACCTGGAGAAAATGGCCACTCTATGTGGACTCTAGAGGTGGACTCTATGGCTGTGCTGCCCCCAGACAGCGTTAATGTACCTTTAACAGTAGTTGCACCTGGGAATTGGAGTCCACAGTTAGGGGCCCCAGAAGCTTCCCTCTGACTGGCTCATTAAGAGTAATTTCCTGAGCTCGGAGGTGCAAAGATGAGAGTTTTATTGTTCTTTTCCGTTTCTTTGTCCATCAACCCTGAAAAGTACGCAGACGGAGAGTGATTTCAGCAAAGCTTACTTTATTCTATCAGGAATGAGACGACTTTGGCCGGCCCGCAGGCCAGCTTATATACCCCAAGAAACCGCCACCCAAAACACACCCATACTTCCCTATAGGTTATTTACAGTGGCCGAGAGTCCCATAGGCTCTCTGCCGGGAACCTAGCCCCCTGATTGGAGCGGGCTAGGATCTGCATAGTCCATTGTCTCTTGGAGCAAAGCTCGACGTTTGTCTATGGACTTGTCTGGACTGGATACATTACAAACCCTTACCGCAAGGAGAGGGGAAGCCCATCTCTTTTCTCACCACGGCCATAGGATTGACCTAGATCAGAAAGATGTAACGCTCTATCCAGCTATCACCTCGATGGTGAGTAAATGATCTACTGAATGCATGTGAAGTTAAATAAAGATGATTTAAGCTCTCTTCAGTGGCTGTGCGTTGACTCACACCTGGAAAGCGTTTGCCTCAGCTGCAAGCTCACGCTAGACAGGACAGTGAGAAAAGAGATGGGCTTCCCCTCTCCTTGCGGTAAGGGTTGATGGACAAAGAAGCGGAAAAGAACAAAACTCCTATCTTTGCGCCTCTGAGCTCAGGAAATTACTCTTAATGAGCCAGTCAGAGGGAAGCTTCTGGGACCCCTAACTGTGGACTCCAATTCCCAGGCGCAACTACTCTTAAAGGTATATTGACGCTGGCTGGGGCAGCACAATGGCATTGTACCGCACC